GATCGTCAGCACGAGCGTCTTCCGACATCTCCAAGAATTTGGAGATATAATCATCAACATTGGCGTTTGTTTTAGCAGCTGCAACACTTTCTTCTTTATCGAGGCTACTCGATACCAGGACATTTTCGATATGTTTGTCTGCTTCTTTTATATCATGCACACCATAGTCTGATTTGCTCATTTTGTTGTAAAGTTATATTGGTTAAAATCCTCCAACACTTGGTAAACCATGGTGGTGATTATCTTGTCTATTTATAGAAATTTTTGATACAGTCTACAGCTTTGCTGCAAAAGCAACACTATTAGGTACATTTTGGTAACAATCTCAATATGTCACCACCCAAATGCACTAAAGCTAAAAATAATTAACCTATCTGCAATAGCTAATTTGGGTACAACTTTTATTACACATATGAGGCGGAGAATATTTCACTACACTATTCACGTGTTTTACCAGATATCCACAAAGCCTTGCCTGCCCCCAAATAATGATTGGTTAAAAGTGGATATACGCTCGCACATTGGGGAGAAAATTTATGCAAGGTGTGTTAAAATGTGGAATGCTTAAAGTTGGTACATAAATGGAAAAGTGGCGTGTAGAAACGTTTGGCGGGGATTTATTTCATTAATTATCAACACATTCCTTGTTTTGCAGTAGAAGTATGACTTAAAGGTCAAATGCTCGGGGAATTAGGTGTTGCAACTCTCCAGTAATTAATCCATTGCATCAACTAGAATCAATAGACAATAGGAAGAAAAAAAGAACAATGCTTTTTACCCCACAATAGATTTCGCGACATCGTAAATTCTATTGTTCAAACCTGATAGTCTGGAGAAGAGGATTTATTTCACATTGTTGGGAAGGAATCATACAAAATGGGGACCATAGGTATAACTAGATGCCTTATATCACACTGCCTGAAAACCACAGAAGTGAGCTCTTTAAAACTGTCCCTAAGCCATGTTTTATCGATGAGACGTTCTCGTAAATTTTTTGAGTACAAACTCTAGTGTCATTTGAATTCGTGGTCGAGTATCAAGTTATTGGTAAATCTTAAAATGTTTCCATGGATTTTGTAGGTTGACATTGCTGAAAGTTCAACAGCTTCTTGATACTCGGTACTTTTGTTAATATCCCTTGTTTTGTATTCTTTAAAGATGCAGTAGACTACAACTTAAGTTCGGTGATCTCTAAATCTGACCTTTATTGCTAGGCATCACTTTTAATACTGGCAAATTTCCCCCTCAATGCGCTTCAACCTAAACAGAATTAATTACTATAATACTCTAGAAAGAGGCGTGACAAGAATAATTATTCCTCCACATTAAAAAAGGGCGGTTTCTCGGAATAAGTATTTCTAAACCCAGAGATTGAAATAAACACTGTATCTAGTATGCCAAAAATTGAAGGCGGGGAATTACAAATTAGTGCGAGAATCGCAGATCGAAACGTATGACTATTGGCCTACTTACTACCCTTTTTGTATAACAATAAAAAGGTGCCCCCACTTTATAGAAGGTGAAAAGTATGTAGGCTTAAACACAAAAATGAGAAATTTGTTTTAAGATAATCCGAGCATTAACACGAAAATATTCCGAGCATTTGGTCAACAAACTCAAAGCCCCGTGAAATTTCTCGGACGAATTTTATCACCCCACAAACTCTAAATGTGCCCCTCAGCAAAAGTATAGGGAAATGCAGAGCGCATAGATGTTAGAAA